TGCGCCAGCAGGGCCGCCTGGTGGTCCGCCACGCCTACAGCTTCCACCAGAGCAGCGAGGAGGCTGGCGACTTCCTGGCGCACGCCGACCTGCAGCGGCGCAACTCTGAGTACCTGGTGGAGAACGCGCTGCACCTGCACCTCATCGTCAAGCCGGTCTACCACACCCTCATCCGGACCCCGGAGTAGCCGTGGGGGGCGCAGGCCCGGCCGAGGGCGCCCGGGGGTGTGGGCGGGCGAGGCCGCGTGGAGGTGGCAGCAGGCTCGGCCCCTGGGGGCAGGGATGGGAGCCAGGCGCCTGATTTCAGGGGCGATTTCACAGCTGACTTGAAAGCGACATTCTTGGTCCTGAATAAACGATGCGCAGAGCCGTGAGGGGATGATTGAACCACCGGTCCTTGGGTAAAAACCACCCGGGGGAGAGTCACACACGTCTGGGGGCGCGGGGGCTCCACTGCCCTCTGCGGAGCTTTTTCCGGAGAGCCCCCCACGCAGATGCAGGATAGGGCGGGTAAGAGCATCCCCGTGCTCAGGGCCCCGGCAGCCTGCCAAGCCTGGGGCACCCGCCCCGACCCTGCCAGTCGCAGAAGTTTTTTCCCCTTGAAGCTGCAGGGCTTAGCTGGGCAATTTCTGAGCCCTGGCATCTGGGGAAGCCACTGCTTTGGGGTGTGAGGATTTCTGGCACCCGGGCTACTCCAAGTCCCTGACATCTTCTGGGAAGGGACCTGGCAGGTGTGAAGGCTGTGGGATGGGGCACGAGGAGACCCTGCTAGCCTCACCCTGGGGAGACACCTCAAGGTCTGGACGCCTCCCCAGGTGTCTGTGGGTTGGTGCTAGACAGCCAGCAAGGGGGAGATGGGACGGGGCTAGGGGGTGGGAAGAGAGTTGGTTGAGTCTTAGCCATGGCCACCCCACATCCCAGAGAAGATCTAGTTTCCAACACAACCGCAAAGACCCAAGTGGGATTTTATTGTTAAAAAGGAAGGGGGGAAAAGCCACTGCCAAGTAACAAAACCGGATTCCCTTCCCCACCCCCAACTGTAATCCGTGAGGTTCCTGCCAGCCCCCCCCCACCATCAGGAGGTCCTTGCCCGGTGTGGGCTAGGAGCTCCTCCGCCTCATTTCCAGGGCTGAGACTGGCCTCAGGTCTGTGCAGGGTTTTGGCAACAGTGTTCCATCCGGGGAGGGAGGCCAGGGAGCCGGGTTGTCCCAGCCACGCCTCTTGGCCTCAGCTCCCTTCTGAAGGCATGGAAGGGTTGGGCAGGCACCCCCACAACCTCCAGGTCTCAAGAGCCCCGGCCTGCTGAGATTCCGAGCTCCTGCTCCTGGGTTCATCCCCAGGCTCCATCTCCCATTCTCCACCACAGCCCATCCAGTCTTGGGGGGCAAGTTCCAGGCGGGGACCCTTAGTTAGGCTGGAAGCGTCCCTCTTTGCCATGGGTGTTTGAGCCGTGGGGCAGGTGAGGCCCACGTGTAGCCCGTCGGGAAACGCCAGCTGGGTTGGGGGGCACAGCAAGGGGCGAGGTGTCCCCAGGGCCTGCAGCATGGGAGGAGCTAGGATCAGAGGTTAAGGAATGCCTCCCATCTCCTCGGCCACCACCCAGTGGCCTAGAACTCCCTCAGGGCGCAGCCCCAAGACGCCGGTCCCGTGACTGTTCTGTGAGAACCACGCTTCCAGCGAGGGGAGGCCACGAGACGAGGGAACGCAGCCATGTGTCCTCCCCGGGCTACCCCCAAGGCCTCCCTCCTCATTACCCCCTCGCCGGCACTGACCTGTGTTCTGACTTGGAGGGAGTCTGACTTTGGCCAAAGGCAGCGTGACCTTTCCCTGATGTCGGAGGCCGGGGGCTGGGTGTCTGCACGCGGGCATCTTGTGGTCCGAGATGCTCTCCACCTGACGGGGCCCCAGGAGGTGCGTCTTGGGGCGGGAGAGCTGTGTTGGTTGAACAGTGAGGTGAGGCTGAGCACAGCGCGGGGATCTGCTGCTGGCATCTGGCCCAGTTGCCACACCAGCCTGGGGACAGAGGCTTTGTGGACGGTGGTGCCTCTGGGTGGGGTGCAGGCTGCAGTGCTCCAGGGCCTCGGGACAAATGCAGCCTCCCGGCTCTCACCCGCCCCCTGTCCCTCGCCTCACCCCTTGCCCCGTGACCTCGAAGGACCGGGACCGTCGCCTCCTCCTCTTCGCCTCCAGCGACTCCTCCTTTTTCTTGCCCAGGCTCTTCTTCTGGCCACGCAGCCAGGGCCCAGAGCCCTCACCGCGAGGCCCGCCCGTCCGGGAGGGGCCCTCGCCCGTGCTGCTGGACAGGTTGTCCTCGCTGGCAGCATGCTGCAGGGTGGGGCTCGGCGGCCGTTTGCAGGCCAGTGGGCCCGGGGGCCGCGCGTCGTCCGCCTCGCTCAGCGAGTGCAGGGACAGGCTGCTGCGCTCTGTCGCGGGCGCCGGCAGGTGGCGCCCCCCAGTGCCCAGGGCCCGTGAGCGCCGCCGGGCGGCCTTCACCGAGATGCACTTGGTGCTGGTCAGGATCTCCTTTCTTTCTGCAGCGAGACACGGGGAGCACCCAACCTCAGATCAAGGCCACCTCTGACACCCTCCTGTGACGTGACAGAAGTAGGTAGGAGCCAGGATGCCTAGATTTCAATCCCAGCACCCCTAGTGGCTGTGCAGGAAACCCGGGGTACGTTTTTGAGCCTTACTGTCATCTGGAAACTGGGGAGAGTAAAACTAACCCCACAGGGTTATTTCGAGGATTCATTGAGATAATGGGACCGACCTACGTCAGTCAGGAGGTAGAGATTCGATAGCTATGTTCTATTACAATTATTCTGAGTGGGAGGGGGGCATGATTCTAGGTGCCACGTGACTCCCTTCTACTTGCCAGTTGTGCCCCTGGCTCTCTGTGTGTCCTTGAGCAGGTGGCTAATCCTCTGAGGGCACCGGTGCCACTAGAGAATGGGCAACCCCCAACACACTGGCGCACCCAGCAGGGCAGGGAGCAGGAAAGGGTTTCGGGCTGAGCGGAGCAGTGCATACGAGATCACGCAGGGAATGACGGGGCGGGAGGGGCGCACACACCTTTGTGGGACGCCGGGATCTCTGACAGAGTCTCACTGCTGTCAGGGGAGGAGTTGATCCAGCTGCCTGGGCTGTCCTGAGGGGGGGCCTGTGGGGTGAAGCGTTGGGAGGAGGAAACCTTTGAACACAGCAGGGACCCCGTCCCCCCCTCAGCAGGGAAGGCAGGGCCCTAGAGACGGTGGCCAATTAGAAGAGGCTCCATGGTGACTGCAGGGTGTCTACACCATGACCCCCACCCCAAGCAGCGGTGCTCAGAGCTCACCTCCTGGGTCACCAGGCCACCAATCTGGATGGGAGGTGGGGTGGACACAGAGGAGCTCTTCGCCTGCCAGGCCCTGGAACTAGCCTTGAACACGCGGCGGACTTCACTGAGGTTGGCAGAAGAGTATGGGCCGCTGTGGACAGGGCTGGTCCCACTGAGGTCCCACCCTCACCCCAGGGGAGAAGCTGTAGGTGTGAAGGGAGAGAGAACCCAGGCGTCCTGGGTCCAGACCCGTCCACCTCCTCCCTGCCATTCCGGCTCCGTCTTCTCCATTTAGCCCTGATTTGGGTTGGCCTCCCCGGACAGGGCACGGCACAGAGGCTGGGACAGATGGCTCCTGGTCTCACCTCTCTGGACTGAGAGGAGGCAGGGTGCTGTTCTGTCCGCGCTGGGCGTCAGAGCTCAGCGTCTTCACGCTCTCTGGGTCAGAATCCGGGGTCAGTGTGGTGCCTGCTGGGGCGATTCTGGGCAAGGAGCTGTCCTGGGGAGGGGGAACAGGGGTGGACAGTCAGAAGATTTGGTCCTGGCCCACGTAACAGCACAGGGTGACAAAAGGACACAGGGTGATTAGGGCTGTAAGATGGGCTGGGAGGCCCAGAAGGGCAGTGGGTTTGTGTTCCAGGTCCCCGGGAGTAGGCTGAGGCCTGCCAGGCATACCCCATGGCACTGCTTGGTGGCCTGGTCTCCCGGGAGGGCATCTGGGGCCACTTGTGAGATCTCAGATGGCCAGCCATGACCCTCAGACGGTGGGTGGGGACAAAGCCAGCAAGGAATGCCCAGGGATGGGGATCTTACTTGGGCTTGGCCAGGCTTTGGGAGGGATAAGAAGGAAACGGCCAGCCCGGGCAACTTGGCAGACCTCGTCTCTATAACAAATCAAAAAGCAAGCCGGGCTTGGTGGCTCAGCCTGTAGTCCCGCGCCTTGGGAGGCTGAGGTGAGTGGATTGCCTGAGCCCGCGGGTTCGAGACCCGCCCGGGCCACTTGGTGAGACCTCCC